GTGTCTGTCACGCGACTCTGTTCCCCTTTCGGGCTCTGTCTTTACATTTATTTTGAAAGATGAAGCTCGTGATTATGGTAAGGGGCGTTACATTTCCGACGAGTGCTTGTGGTGTTCGGCCAATCACAATGCACTGGGTCAGCTGGCCAATCAGAGCAGACTGCGCTTGTCGGAAGGAGGAACTTTGTAGAAAACGAAGCGTTTGAGAGAGGTGGGGCATAGAGGACCTACAATAATGTAGAGTATTTGAAAAATAATGTGTTTTTTGAACATTAAAGCATGTCAACATATTCTGTTACACCAAATACACAAAATAATGACCTTTAAAAAAAGCATCATATGACCCCTTTAAAGAAATGAACAATTTTATTCAGCAAGGATGCATTACATTGATCAAAAGTGACGGTAAAGACATAACGTTACGAAAGATTTCTATTTGGAATAAATGTTGTTCTTTTGAATTCTTATAATAATGTTGAAATAGTATTGTGGTTTCCACTAAAATATGAAGCAGCACAACTTTTTTAACATTAATAATAATCAGAAATGTTTCTTAAGCAGCAAATCAGCATATTAGAATGATTTCTGAAGGATTATGTGACACTGAAGACTGGAGGAATGATGCTGAAAATTCAGCTGTGCATCACAGGAATAAATTACATTTTACAATACATTCAAATACAAAAGAGTTATTTTAAATTACAATAATATTTAACAATTTTTAGACTATTTTTGATCACATAAATGCAACCTTGGTGAGCAGAAGAGACGTCTTTTTAAAAACATTGGAAAAACATCTACTGACGCCAAACCTTTGAATGACAGTGTATTTGATGTCTTTACTAAACATGTAAAGAGTGACGTACTCTGCGTGCCCAGTTGACCAGATCGTCCAGCTTGGTGATGATATAGTCACCCTTGCTGCTGACCGCTGAAGCTGGTTTTGGGGCCAGAGCTGTGCTTTTCTCTCTGAACGGGACCAGACTGGAAAGAAGGGTATGCTCAGTTAATAATTACTACTCATTGTAAGAGTTATTTTATAACATACAACCACAAAAAAACATCCACTTCGCACCTTGAGGCGTTTTCATCCTTTTTGTCTGTCAAAGGAACCTTCTTATGAGCAGAAAACGATGAAATGGCCCTACATTACAAACACAATATCAAGTTTAAAAAAAT